GGCAAGGATACTTTATGTTCTATTATGAGCCAAGATTAAAATTATCTTAAAAAAACTTAAAAATTGTTGCCAGAGAGGCAATATTCAAAGAAAAAAGAATTGCAGTACTTTCCTGTCATGGGCAGAGGGTTTTATCCTAAAAATGCATTTAGGGAAAAAAATTCACAATATAATAGACCATTACTATGATGGGAAAGTAGGAAAATGGTAAGAAGTCATTACCATATTTTAATCAATATAGTGACACATATAAAATGTAGGTACTGAAAAGAAAACTTTAAACAAATTTGAATGAAGTGCTCAGAATAGTGAAGGAAATGATGACAAAGGGAAGCGGTAGTGTGAACAGCAACAGATTGTGACACAGGACATAAAAGAAAAGGAAGTATAATTCTAAGGAATACAAAAGGGATGACATGCTTTGGATAATAATTAAAGGACATTATTCAATAAAAATATGAGTTCAGAAAGAAGTGGGAGGAAAGGAAAACTAGTTTCAGGAGACAAACTCTGATACTATAGAGACAATCAGATTTTCTTGCAGACCCAGCTGTCTTAACTCCTTGTTTGAACTAGATGTGAAATATCAATAAATGAAATACAATCTTTAATATAGTTATGTAGTCAGAGTCCATACAAAAATATACTGGGGATTGATACTAACACATTTTTAGGAATTTGTACCCAATGGATGGCCAGTCTCTTATTGAATTTCTCTCAATTTGAGCAAGCAAGGTAAGCTACTTCTGACAGAATATTTTTAAGTCCTGTTCACACAAAATGGTAAGTTCCAGAAATGCCAGGTTGGGTCAAACCACTAGAAATCTAACATGATTCGGAATTTCCATGGGAACAAAATATTTTCTTGGGATTGTTTGGACTTTAGATGGATGGATTTGGATTTTTTAGGGAGGGCACAGAGCCAGATACCTAGTGGACCCACCCTTTACTATCTCTAGGGCTGTCCAAAGTTGGAATTGGTGGTAATTAAAATCAAGATTGGAGATAGATGGGCTGAGGATTAGAATCATGCAGTTTATAAAGCACATATTTAATCTTTCCATTTGGGACATTCATAATAAATTACTCAGGAAGAAAAAAAAAAGACATCAGATGGGTCTTAATCACTTGTGATTGTGGAAAAGAACTGAAGTGACACATATTGAAAATATGAAATGACAGATCTAGAGGAACACAGTGTGCTTGGCTTGGTCACATCATCACCTTGAAATACTATCTTTCCTTCTACAATGAAGTGATTGATGCTAATGAATTATCAGAGCTAATAAGAAAAGAAAAAAAGTCAGATAAAGTCACCATTGTTGGTTTTTCAAAGAACAGGAGGAAATTCTGCCAACAACCATTTTACATTTAGTGAGACAATCAGAAGGTGGCAACAAGCCACACAGTTCGAAACTGTTTCCTGCTGAGTCTGGCTTGCACTAAATAAATGTGTACATAGCCAGATCAAATGAAAGTGACTTTTACTCTCTTTGGTCATTTGTAGGTTTTACAATAATGGTAAATAACAGAATTCCAACAAAGAAAAATAGCAGATATTAAACAGAAAGCATCAGACTCACATAGTCCATTAGCTATTTTGAAGTGCTGTTTTAAACACTAAAAAGTGGATAAAGTGAGAAAGAGTAAATTTAGAAAGGTTATTAAATGCTCACTCCTTAGTCCGCTTCCAGGTTCAAGGGTGTGGTGGTACTTGGTTTATTCTTGACACCTGCCTCTGCCACCCGAACACTAGGACCAGTGCCTTGTGTGTGCATTTTTTGGACATACTTTTATTTGCCACAAGAACCCCTGAAGCATATCAGTTATCTTATCAGTCACTATTGACACTATATCTCCATGTACCACGTATAAATATTCATTCTCTAACTATTATGTGTTTGGCATTGACCAAATATTAAGAGCCAAGGTCACTCAGTCAAAATGAGCTTTCAAGACTATCCAATAAATCAACTCAAATTATTCACTGGTAAATTATCCTTCTTTCTGGTGGTTGTGAGAATGGTAGAGAATGGTCTGCTGCTACTGTAAACTAGAGTAATAAATAAACAAGATGGCCCGTTGTCAAGGGGTAAAAATTACAACGTTGAAAATGCAATTGGGTTTCAGAGACCTTCATACGTAAACTCTTTGCAGTAAGGAGAAACTATTTTATAGTCCAGCCTTGAAGGTCACTTTTTTTTTTTAAAGCTGTGATTGAGAACTTAAGGCTAATCACCACTAGCTGTCATAACAAAATAAGAAAATATATCAACAATTAAAGCTTGTGTTAAGCAGTAAAATTAGATGTTTCATTTAATGTGGTATAGGAACTCTGTTTAGCTAATGAAATCATCTCACATAGTAGCTAAAATTGAAAACTGAAATATCTATTTAGTTGTTATAAGTGGTGTCCATTATTCACACATCGGCATTATTATTTTATTTTAGTAATAAGGTTATTACCAGAGTAGGCAAAATAGAACAGGTCCATCAAATTGCCTACAATTTAGCAGACATTTGAATGATCTTTTACTTTGATACAGAGCAAATAACTTTGAATCATAATGACTAAAACATGAAAATGTATAGCTTAAAGGTGACAAATCATACCACTTTGAACAAATATTTATACTCGGGTCATAGTAAAAAGAAAATTTTTTGCTTATATGTCTATGTTTTTATTACATTTTGTTTTGCTTTGTTTTGTGCTTCTCCTATGGGTACATCTTAAGTCGGTTCACATCTTTCTGAGTGAAAGTAGAGGGAGACCCAAGGAGATTCACATCAAAAGAAACAAAGCTCAGACAAAACCAACAACCAAAGAAAAAGTTCTTTACCTAGAGCAGAAGCAGTCCAATATAACAGCAAGAAGCCAGAATGCTCCTGGCTCATCCAATGGAGAAACGTGATTTTTAGGGAGCGGTTCATCTAGCCTTAGTAGCATCAGCCCATAGTGGAAATCTTTGTGGAATGACTGTAGTTTTCTTTCCCCCTTGTACTGACACACTTTTAGATATAACTATTAAAGAAAGAATTATTAACCTGGCCTATTTTCAGCATATTTTCTGTACCTTCTTCTTTTAAATAAAACCTGACTCTCCCCTAACAATACTGCTTCCAAGGCAGCCCCTGTCGGCCCACGGTTCCTTCTCTCACGCGCTTTGTAGCACTCGCCCAAAGCAAACACAAGGAGGGGCCTCGGCGTTACTGCGCGTTCTTTGATTTTAGCTCCTGGTTCTGTCACTCCTTCCTACAAGAATTACTCCTGTCTTAATTCTGGCAATTTCCATGTCCACATACTCCAGACTCTGTTTCTCTTAGCCTCTTTTCCTCCTACCCCACTTCCGTGGTCACGTCCTTGCCTGAACACTGTCAGTACCTATATCTCCGCTCTTTGTACATTCACATTTTTAACAATCCCATTTGCTGGCCACGAGCGGAGGAGTCTTTTTAGCTCACTCACTCTGAATTCTTTGATCGCACCAAGGAGTAGCATCTGTCAATCTTCCTTCCTTCCTGTTTCCCTTCATTGCCTTCCTTTTCTCACTTTATTCCATGCCCAGTTTAGGTACTTTGGTCCACCCCCATGGGTGCTCCTTCGCACATACTCTCAGTTTTATTTTATCTCGTTCATTGTCCCGCTCCCATTAGAGCTCTAGCCTGATTAAATCCAATTCTGTGCTGTATCTGAATCCCCAGCTGAAGGCTGAATAATTGTGTTGAATTATCTCGTTAAAATATATATATATATTTCTTCTGATCTCTAATGCTGCCCAAAAATACAGGCGTACCTCATTTCATTGCACTTTGCTTTACCAAGTTTCACAGAAACTACATTTTTTTACAAATTGAAGGTTTGTGGAAACTCTGCATTGAGCAAGTCTGAGATGGAAGCTTGACAAAAGTGAAAAAGAAGGAAACTGTATAAAGACCAACTTCAATATACCAAAAACAGAGCAATCTGAGGCCACTTCATATGGGAACAAATAACCTTAAACAGCTCAAATGCTTTCAGGGTTATGATTTTACAGCCAATAAAATAAGAATCATTGAGGGGGGAAAATTGTGCTATAGTATTCTCCAGGTTAAGAAGCAATGCTGATAGTCAAGATTGAAAAAAAAAAAATTAAACTTTCAGATACTGGAAATATTTGGCTAAGAATAATTCACCCCCCCAAAAAAAGAATAATCATTTTTTAAGGATTACTGTACTATAGTTAAAATATTGACTTTTGTATTGAGAAGTAGTAATGTCTACAAATCACATATTAGAAATCTGACAATACGATGCGTGACTCAAAGAGGAGGAGGGTACATTCTTTAATTACAATACTGCCCTTTGTATTTGGCTAATGAAGACAAATTATAAGTTTAGTTGAAAGCTTTGTATGTAGATAAAAGGGAAATGAAGGTAACTATTAGGGTGGTATTAGAATTCTACAGAAAAAGATGTATTTAAACATGAAGGGATTGAAATAGAAACTATGGAAATAATTCTCTTCTTGTCACCCTTAATCTAGGATCAGCCAACACTTCAGTGATATGGCATGGGGCCCATACCTCAGAAATCAATCCCAAAGGAGAAACTTCTGGGTCAGTCTTGTTTGAATTGACTGAATGTTAGCTACAAACTTACTTACCTACTTCCTTATTTATTTATTTTGAAAAATACCTGAACTATATTTTTCCATGTGGAACCTATAAATGATAACAAAAGTTTGAAATTATAAATCTCTCTGATAAAGGGAAGTAGGAGAAACATCCTTTATAATCTGATATTTTGTTTTGTGCTCACACATAAATACACCTCGTTCCTGTTGACATGGCAGTCAAATTTCTTCTAAGCCCCTCTCATGATAATCCTCTCCAGGAAGGGAGTCACTGTATTGCCATAGCCAATAAGATAGCATACGCTTTTATGCATTGCTTGTTAAATATTAGTTGAACAATCTTTCATTTGCTGAAATTACTATAATTCAAAGAAAAATTACCTTTACCTTTAAGACTGTTTTGAACTTCTAAAGCTACATCGAGAGCATTGAAGGGCAGAACTGGTTCATTGGCAATTTGCAAAATCACTTCTCCTGAGAGCTGAAAGAAAAACAAAAAACAACAACACAAAAGATGCTAGCATTCAGTATTAAGGGTTTCCGATTTGTTTGTTTTTTCATTATTTCATACATTCTTTTTTTTAATTTTATTTTATTATGTTGTTAATCACCACACATTACATCATTAGTTTTTGATGGAGTGTTCCATGATTCATTGTTTGCCTATAACACCCAGTGCTCCATGCAGAACGTGCCCTCTTTAATACCCATCACGAGGCTAACCCATCCCCCCACCCCCCTCCCCTCTAGAACCCTCAGTTGTTCTCTGAGTCCATAGTCTCTCATGGTTCGTCTCCCCCTCGGATTTCCTCCCCTTCAGTTTTGCTTTCCTACTATCTTCCTTTTTTTTTTTTTAACATGTAATGTATTATTTATTTCAGAGGTGCAGGTCTGTGATTCAACAGTCTTGCACAATTCACAGTGCTCACCATAGCACATACCCTCCCCAATGTCTATCACCCAGCCACCCCATCCCTCTTACCCCCCACCACTCCAGCAACTCTCCGTTTGTTTCCTGAGATTAAGAATTCACCACAGTAGCAAAAACATAGAGGGTAAAATATACTTTTATAAGATATCTTTGCCTTTTGAATTTCTTTTTACTTTTTTTCCCAAGATTTTATTTATCTATTTATTTATCTATTTATTCATCTATTTGACAGAGAGAGAGAGAGAGAGCACAGAGAGGGAGAAGGAGAAGCAGGCTCCCCTCTAAGCAGAGAACCCAACAGGCTCCTATCCCAGGACCCTGGGATCATGACCTGAGCCAAAGGCAGATGCTTAACCAACTGAGCCACCCAGACACCCCTCTTTCTACTTAAAAAAATTATTTATTTATTTGGAAGAGAGAGAGAGCAAGGGGAGGGGCAGAGGGAGAGGGAGACGCAGACTCCCTGCTGAGCAGGGAGCCCTGCATGCTGGGCGTGGATCCCAGGACCCCAGGATCGTGACTGGAGCCGAAGGCAGATGCTTAACCGACTAAGCCATCTAGGGACCCTTAATTTTATTTTTTTATAAAGAAAGAAAAAACATTCAGTGTATTTTTCATGTCTCAAAATAGTGTAAAGGAATATAACATTTTCTTCTTTTTTTAAGCTAAAATATTAAGAAATAGCACCCTAGTTGAAGAAGTTGTAATATTTAAACTTTAGAACAATTCTTTATAAAGCAGTTCAGAATATCACACAATAAAACAAACAGTAGAGAGAAATAATTGAAAATCATATTTGGTTAGGGGATGAAGTAAAACTCCAGACAAAATTAATGATCAATTTATTTCATTTAAAATATAATTTAGTCTGAACAGATGGTTACCGGACAGGAGGTGGGCAGGGGGATGGGTGAAATGGTGATGGGGTTTAAGGAGTGCACCTGTTATGATGAGCACCAGGTATTACATGTAAGTACTGAATCACTAAATTGTACACCTGAAACTAATATTACACTATATGTTAACTAACTGGAATTTATTTTTTTAATTTTTAATTTTTATTTTTTTTTAAGATTTGATTTATTTATTTGACAGAGAGAGAGAGAGCACAGAGGGACCATGAGAGGGAGAAGCAGGCTCCCCGCTGAGCAGAAAGCCTGATGTGGGGCTCGATCCCAGGACCCTGAGATCATGACTTGAGCTGAAGGCAGATGCTTAACCAGCTGAGCCACCCAGGTGACCCATAACTAACTGGAATTTAAATAAAAACTTAAGAAAAATAAAATGAACTGTTGTTTTCACTGGGAACTAGAAAAAAAATAAAATAAAATATAATTTAGTCTGAAAAATTCCATTAAAATCTTAGTTACTATTTTCCTTAATGTTTTACTCTATTTCTAATTACCTTTCCAAAATCTATCAAAACTAGTATCATTTATATGTCTTTGAGGTCGTTTAAATTAATGTTAAAAAAACTTTAATGGCATCCCCAACACTCATACCTGGAATTTTCATGCATGCACATCCCCACCACCACCATGCTCCAAAACTGTGTTTGAAAACAAACATATGCACTACAGCTGAACCAACATCTGCTTTATAGACTGAACAAATCATATGCATTCATATACATCTCAAAGGAACTTAGGGCTGGCGGCAAAAGCCACTGTTACTCCCCCTCTCTCTCAACTGATATTTAATATTTACCTAGGCTTAACAAATGTCCCTACATCTCTAATAACCCTGAAGCTGGCACACAGGGAAATGTGAGTGTGTTGATGTTATTAATGTACTATGAAATGTTTTTAGTAAATGAAAATATTGTCTTGTGAAACTACACAGGGGAAATTAGCTTGAGACATTATAGAACACATAAAAGATACAACTTACAAGGAAAATATGATGTTAAATATTCAAATCTACATACGCCACAAGAGTCAAATTCCATTTACTATTTAAGTTATAATTCCCAGGTGTTTGCACAATTTAAGTCATGATAAAAATACAGTTCAATTTGATCTTCTTCTAAATGCTTGAAAAGAATACATCTCTTAGAAAGAAAGAAGAAGAAGAAACACTTTTGGTGTTCCTTTTATTTATTTGAGATATTTTTCTCCCAGATGTAGCAACCACTTTTCCCCCAATGCCTACGGTTTATTTGCAGAGTATTATCCCCAGAATCGTGATCACAAATATCCTGGGAAGCTACCTACTCTGATTATGCTGTTTTTCAGGGGAAAAGCCTTATCTGCAATAGGTGGATATGAATTCTGTCTCTATTCCACCTCACCACATCCAAATCATGTAAGAAATGCTGATGTCTGGCAATAAGTTATTTGTAAAAAGGAATTTTTAAAGAAGACTAAGAAACATTACGGTTTCTTTTTTCAATTTGCACTGGATAATGGAAACTGCAGAAGAGACATGTTTTGTTTACAGTTTTGGAATCTGGAAACCACACATTATAAGAGATTAAAATGAAAGAATGGGAAGGGAGGAGAAAGGCAACCTCACTGTGTGCTGCTGGAGGACGTTGTCTTGTTTTGTCTTAAGGGTCGTCTGGCAGCTCAAACCACTGGAACGTATAAGCCAGCCACCTTGCTATTTCTTCCAAAATGAACCTGAGAACAAATACTGGGACTTCTAAGGCACCTGGCCCATGATAGAATGCTTAGGCTAAACTGGTTTTATTTGCAGCTTCCTAAGCAAGAGGGAGATTGGCATAGGTCTTGCCATGAAGTAGGAAAAGATGAGCCAGACTCATACTCTTCTCATCTACTCTGGATTCACTCTTATTCAGGCAAGCCAAAGCAACCGTCCCTTGTATTTATACAAAGCCCCACTCTTTTCAAAGTGCTTTACACTTAAATATCTTTTTTTTTTTAAAGATTTTTATTTATTTATTTGAGAGAGAGAGAATGAGAGATAGACAGCACGAGAGGGAAGAGGGTCAGAGGGAGAAGCAGACTCCCCGCAGAGCGGGGAGCCCGACGTGGAACTCGATCCTGGGACTCCAGGATCATGACCTGAGCCGAAGGCAGTCGCTTAAGCAACTGAGCCACCCAGGCGCCCCTACACTTAAATATCTTATCTTGACAAACCTAGAGGCAGCTAGTGGGGGAATTAATTTTATGTTAAAAATATAGGTATTAAGTATAAGCCTTACTGGGCTTCAGTAAAAGATGGTAAAATAGGACCTTACCTCCTCCCATGGACACACCGAATCTATAGCTACACACAAAACAAATCCCTCTGGGGAAAAAAAAATCTAATTGAATGATTCCTACACATCAGGCAAATAAGGAAAGCCCCACTTTGAAATGTGTAAGAAAGACTGGAACACACTCTGACCATAAACACTACCACATCACAGCAACGTACAATTGGGAGAAAACTCACAACTCCCGTTTTCTCCCTGAGGAGAAAAGGGTTTGGGTGCAACATGGAGTGCTCTACCTTTTAAGACTTCCGCCTGAGGGGTAGGCTCCCAAAACACTTAGCCCCCAAAGCCAATGAGACTTGTGTCCACAAGACCTACAACACTATAGCAAACAAAGAAGCAGCTCTTACGGGGCTTGTGAGGACTTGTGAGTCCCCTGGGCTCAGTGAAGTGGTAGCAAGCAAAAAATGCCCATATCCCAGTCTTTCCCTGAAAGAGGCCAATTTACATATCTTAAAAGCTATGGCCTGAAAGTCAGGCTTGTAACTTAACACACATCTAGGGGCCAACTGCAATTCTCTCTGGAGACTGAGGAGGCTGGCAGGTTCCATCTTTACCACCCTCACTTTCTCTCTCTGCCCTGCTCCAGGTCACCAGTGTCTCCTGAAAAGGAGCTTGTGCACCTGTCTGGTGCCCAGGTTTTGTAGCTGCCACCCAGAAGATGCACCCCTTGATTGCTTGGCTCTGGTGGCCAGTGGGGCCTGAGTTCTTGAGTTTGAATTCCCAGAGAACTGTAGTAAACACCACCACCACCACCACCACCAACAACAACAACAAAACACTTCTTAATCAGCTACCCCTCAGGGCTCAGTGCAAAATGAGCAGAGAGAAATGCCAATTTCCCAGTCTTTCTCTGAAAGAGGCCTATTTGCATTCTTTATAACTGCTGCCTGAGGGTTAGGTGCTTAATACAACACACGTCTAGGAACAGATTGTGATCTTCCCTGGAAAACTAGGAAGCCAATAGGCATGATCTTAGCATTCTCCCTATAGCCTGCTCCAAACCACCAATATCCTCCTGGAAGGAGTTTATATACATATTTGGCACCCCAGCTTTTGCAGCTCCACCCAGGGGACACACCCCTTGATATCCTGGCTATGGAGACCAGTGGAGCTTGCATTCGCAAGTTTCACAGGACTATAGCAAACAAAGAAATATTTCTTAACTGGTTATCCCTTTAGGGCTCAGCACTTAAGAACCCAATAGAAGGGGTGTCTGGGTGGCTCAGTCAGTTAAGCATCTGCCTTCAGCTCAGGTCATGATCCCAGAGTCCTAGAATCGAGCCCCACGTCTGTCTCCCTGCTCAGAGGGGAGCCTGCTTCTCCCTCT